ATCCCAACCTACACAAAACAAACACAGACTCACATTCCGTCTCTCAAACATCACAAAAGAAAAGACACGATGTAAAGAAAGTGCGAACCACACTCACTGTAACTGTAACATCCATTTGCTAAAGTGCTTTCTGTGTCTGTTGTGGAGCTGCTGGATCTCTTTTGAGAAGCAGGAAGGTTTTCCTTCTAGGAGCTGGACCAACGTCTCCTACAAACACAAAATAAGGATTCAGTTACACGGAAACGCAGCTCATTAAATACATTTATAACGCTGGCTGTTATATACTGACCCTGTCGAGTTTAGGGGTGTGTAAACGCTCCAGGGTGCGGTCTGATGTCAAGACCTTTGAGCTGCCATGGGCTTCAAAGTACTCCTCGATCATACTGGGGGCTTCAGACGTGGTCTTGCTTTTCTTGGCGGGAGTCTTGTACAGAGCTGCAGATAAACCTTTACTGGGCGTTCTTGGAGTCTTTGAGTTCTCCTTTTCCTCTTTCTTTACTTTCTGCTCTTTCTCCATCCCATCTTCATCCTCCTCTTCCCCAGAGTCAGAGGGCGACAGCTCGCTATCGCTGTCCGACCTCATGCTGGGAGCTGAAAGCATCAAACAGCTCAGCTAAAGTCGGACTTTTTATATCTTAAAGGAATGTTTCAGCCACAAAATGACCATTTGTTAGAGATTATCGTTCAACATAATATTGGTTGGCCACCATCTATTTTAATTGTAACATACGTATAACACTCACTTGTTATTCTCTTCCTGAGTCTGTGGGGTGTTGTGGAGACAAACTGAACCTTCTTGCTCTGTCACAAAGAAAATAGAGGTTAACTCTAAAATAACAACATGTTTGACACTGCAGCTTAAAGAAAAATGGCGACATCATTATAAAAGCTTGTAGGATCTGACGTGTAAATGAGAAGTAAGCAAAAAATCCCTTCAGGTCTCACCCTCTGTGGTGTCCTGCTTTCACCTCTGTGGTCTAGTCAGAGAGACAAACAACAGACTTAGTTGTATGTAAATGTACAGGATGGACAGACATGTAAAAGATAAACAGACAGTGTGCTGCACTCACTGCGTCCTGTTCGGGTGGGAGTCGAGGGTTCAGTGTTGGGGGCCGTGCTGAAGGTCACGCTTTTCCCGGGAGTCCGAGCCAACTCACTTGCTGTTTGCAACAACACAAAAACAAAACCAAGTTAAGCATCGTCTGATAAATGCAGCTGATGTCAAGAATGTATGACAGAAGAGGTGGGAGGCTCTCACCAGTCTGGGCCATGCTGTGTCCACGTTTGGCTTTCTGAAAGGTGAAAATGGAGGATCCGGCCATTCTGTACATTCCCTCCTCATCCTCTGTAAAACCAAGAAAATTATGTAACTCAGATGTAACCAGGGACGCCACGAAAACGGATTCTTAATGACTTAATGTTACTCCTTTTTCTTTAGTACCGCAGATACCAGGTGGTAGGGTTGGGCTGGTCTGTAGCCTGCAGACTGATTCTAAATAACCCTCAGCTCATCTTTCAAAAATATACTATATAATTAACACAATATTTTGGTTAATGAAACAAGATCACTTAGTATTTTTGTCATTCACTCCACGATGGCAAGATTATCATGCAGTTTGTAGACATACGCCAAATAGGAACAACACACGGTAAACAAGCAAATGATAATAACCTAAGACCATATATTTCCTGCTTGGTAGCAGACATGGCCACAGCAAAGAAGCGTAAAGTCAAGAGCAATGGCCGCCGCCCTCAGGAGCTGTGTAAAGTTGAATACTTTTTCACTTAAAGATGAAATGGTTGCGTTTATATTTGTATGTGATTTGTTTTTTTTTAATAACACACATGGATGCAAAAAGCAGCTGGCCACCAGTCATTGCCACATTATCTGATCTGGACCCCATTCAAAATAGTTTGGACACACCTGGACGATACAGTCGATGCAATATTACGTGAAATACAAGACTCAACATTAATGCTTGCCCACGGCAAGTAACTCTGTGTTCAGGCAAATGTAACTTCAAAGCCTCGTGCAGGTTTCTGTTAAGACAAGTAAAAAATAACCCCCGATGTCTAATGTAACGTTTTCTGAAAAATAATCTGCTGTATCACTGTAACTAAGTTTTTACCCTAGCCTTACCCTAAGCCTAACAAATCCCACTCCTCTTGCCTAAACCTAATCAATCCAACCAACGAAAGCAACGAGTAGTTACCAATCATAGGGAGAGTAGAGTGGGTCATTGCTTTGCTATCCTAGGATTTGTAAATCTGCTAAATAAGTGTTCTAGTCTGCTGTTAAATGCCAAATGATGAAGAAGAACATCTAACAGCACGGAAGAACAGCAACACACGAAAGACAGTCTCAAGTGCAGCTGCAGCGACAGCTCCACATTGATAAATCGTGAAAATACGATATATTTTAATATACTGCATACAAACTAAGTCTACTCTCGTTGATGCAAATGGAGTGAACAAAGTCATCATTTAGCAGCAGGCTGAATAAAGTTCAATAAAAACACCCTTACAACACAAAGAGAGGTGGAAAAACCCTGACAGGTAGACCTTCACTCACCTTCTGCGTTGTCTGCTCCCAGAGCTTGGACGTAGTTCTGCTCATCAAGGACTCCATTTTCATCCCCATCATGTTCTGCATCCTCTCTGGCCCGTCGTCCAGCTGGGCCCTTAAACTTTACCATCTTCTGAACGGCCCCACTGCTGCTCTGCACACCTTAATATTCATACACAGACAGAAAGAGCAGTCAGCAGTGGTGGAGGAAATACTCTGGTCCTTTACTTCAGTTAAGGTATTAATACCACACAGTGAAAACACCAGTATGTATAAAAGTCCCACTTAGTGATAGTTAGCCACCTGCAAACAACATAAACTATGTAAGCAGGAGAGGTGAAGTGAGTGTGTGGCTCTTACCCTCCTGTTTGTCCACGATGTGCTCCAGAGCATCTCCATCACCGATGAACTTCACCTCCAACACACTCATCATCACTGCAGGGAAACACAACAGTGTGACAGCAGCTAGCTTAAAGCTAACGACTCAGCAGTGCCTTAAACACAACACAAACACACTTAGCTTCTATAGCCTTTACTGCTTTTAATGTAACGTTAGTTCTTCTCTGTCAGTCAGTGTGCTGTACGTTACATTAGTCTCTCCGTGGACATTAGTCTCTCCCTGAACGTCTCACAGTAAAGTGTAACAGTAACGTTAGCTAACCGGGTCTAAACGACGGTAACTTACCGGATAATGAGTCCGTATCGTCCGAGAAAAACGTAAACAAATCTTTCATAAACTGAGAACCACACTGTGTGCTGGTGTGACAACTTTCCGCGCCATCCTGCTGAAGTTTTTAAACCACGTGACAAGTAAAAGGTCACACGGTGGCCAATCAGAGCGTTAGCTTCTGTGAAAACAACATTTCCCAAGATGCACTTCGCACGGTGCTTCACAACTGCAGTTCACTGGCTGCTGAGACTTCAGATTTATGATTTTAATCAATTATAACAGCGATAATGATGGTAATGAATGATAGCTAGTACAATAATAATAATAATAATAATAATAATATTAATACCATATAAGTGGCATTATACTTCACTGTTATTACTGAAATGTTAATCACAGTGACACCTATTTAAAAATGTGCCAGAAACGTTTGCAGACCTATTATTAAAAAAAGAGAAAAAGAGGAGAAAAAGAAGTAGAAATTGAGAACATGGGTGGGCTATGAGACAATGGGCCCATGGGCACAAATATGCAAAAGGCCCCACCACCTCTACTACATTGGAGCAAGACACACAGACTTTGTGGTGGTTTGCCTCTTTGTGTTGTTTTTTTGCATGTCTTTGTGGTTTTGTGTCTCTGTTTTGTAGTTTTGCATTTCTTTGTAGTCATTTTGTGTCTCTTTGAGTTAATTTTGTGTCTTTTTTTCAAGAGTCTTTTTTTGGTCTTTTTGTGTCTCTGAATTAATTTTATGTCTTTTTTAGTCATTTTGTGTCTGAATTAATTTTATGTCTTTTTTTGGTCATTTTGTGTCTCTGAATTAATTATATGTCTTCTTTGGTCATTATGTGACTCTTTGCGGATATTTTGTGTCTCTTCACAGCTCCTTTGCATCTCTTTGAGGTCATTTTGAGTCTCTTCCTGGTTATGTTAATTTAAGTGACATTTGCAGGTGACCAGAAGGGGCCCCTGGGCCTGTGACTGGTACGCCCATTAAACTATTCTTAAAAAAAAAAAGAGAGAGAAATAAAAATCTTGTAATTTCTCGTTTTTCTGAAACAACAAAGGTGGACACTAAACCTTTCTCATAATTTTAAATTCATATTCTTGTTAATCCAGAAAATTTCTCATGAAATCTTTGCTCAGAATTCTAAGATAATATAATATTTTTACTCCCTGACTGCACAAATATACATCATGATGAACTCACAAGCAGCCATGGGCGGATTATGAGACAACAGGCATGATTAGGTAATTTGGGGTCTCTTTTTTGTGTGTCTCGTTGCGTTATTTGTTGTTATTTTGTGACTCTTTGCAGTTACTTTGCATCTCTTTGTGGTAATGTTGTTTGTTTTGTGTCTCTTTAAAGTAATCTTTATGCCTTTTGTGGTCATTTCGAGTCTCCTTTGGGTCATTTCACATTAATTTGAGTGACATTTTGCAGGTGAAAACCAGGGGGACCCCTTGACACTTTGGGCCCCTGAGCCTGTGCCTGATAGGCCCGTTCAGTAATCAATCCATGCCAGCAGCTGTTGTTCTGTAGTTCAAACTGTGGGCAAAGCCTCTCCCACATTTTCAATAATTACATTTAGTGACTGAATATTGCATACAAAACTAAATAAAATATATTTAAAACATTCACGAACACTTCTTTAAGAGCAAGGTTCAAAGAAGCATGTCTGGCTACATTCAATTGTGTATGGACAGTCTCCTGCTGTCTTGGTCTAACTGACACTGACATACTGACTCATTATAAAGACACTGATGTAAGAAAGAAAGAAAGATTTATTTATTTAATCATTTAAAAGCAGACAGATGTGTTTTTTCCCTTATTTCCTCCATGTTGCTTCAGATAAAAAACAAACAAACTGGGGAGTAAGTGTACAAAAAGTAGATAATCCGTGATTATGGAATAGCTCTACATTTATACTTTGGAATGAACTACAGGTAGCAGGAGTAGCTCGAGGAAGTTGTTCTTCCAGGGTTCATGTAGCTATCCTAACAAGGTGATGTATGATTGAGCTGTTCACCAGCCACGTGTTGGTGTCCACTTCCCCACCAGACGGCCCTCAGAGTGCACATAGTACACGGGATGCATCGCTGCACTTGCACACGACTGTAAAAATCAATAGATTTAGGGTCAAACAAGAGAGTGACACAATAAAACACACACAGCATTGAACTTCACTCCACTCTGAACTGTACTCACATGGTAGGGGATCAGAGTGAGCAGAGAGCCCAGGGGGTATTTACTTTAGTCCAGCTGTCCCGACATGGGCTCCACTCTGCCGTGCTCCTGGGTCATAGACAACAACCTGGAGAGAAATATGTACAGTACAGGCCAAAAGTTTGGACACACCTTCTCATTCAATGCGTTTTCTTTATTTTCATGACTATTTACATTGTAGATTCTCACTGAAGGCATCAAAACTATGAATGAACACATGTGGAGTTATGTACTTAACAAAAAAGGTGAAATAACTGAAAACATGTTTTATATTCTAGTTTCTTCAAAATAGCCACCCTTTGCTCTGATTACTGCTTTGCACACTCTTGGCATTCTCTCCATGAGCTTCAAGAGGTAGTCACCTGAAATGGTTT